GAGGGGAAGATCTTGTTCGTAATTGTATATATTAACTGCCTCGAAGGCCAGATTATTTATTCTTGACCTACCTGTTTTATTCTTTATTTCCAACACCGAGAAGATCACAAACTTGGCAAATGCAAGAATACCATTCTCCTCAATGTTTCCTTCTTCACAGAATGCCTAACATGAAGCAATTGGAACAAATTATTCATTACACATAAATTGGAAACTGAGACATCTGAAGAAGAAGTGAGGTAATGCACATAAACTTCCCTAAATAACAGTAAATAAACAAATTTAAAATGATCCATTTTTAAAAACAGAGCAAAGCCAAAAGTTGTTTAACCCTAGACAGCATTATCACTGACCTTATTTAGCTTTTTCTTAACAACTGAAGCACCATCCAGAAGATCAATTTTTGAATCCTAGAGAAAAAAAATTTAAATTAATTGAATGATCTAATTACAACACTAATAAAGCTGATGGTGCACAAATCATCCATACTTGCTGCTGCTATTGCTGTCTTTTAGAAAGTAATCACCATGCTTTCAATAAAAAACGCGCATGAACATAGTGGCTTGAGCAACAGGAAAAAGCCATTTAGCCTTGCTAAATATGCAAAGAAAGAGAGGGTAAGAGCAGTGGTCATGTAATAAAATACTTATTGACTGAATTATATCAAGCTGAATGGGAAAATGTGTGGCTCTCTGTTGTGACTGCATACTTCATTACCTTGAGAAAAAAACTTTCCAACCATTTATCTCTGTCAATAAGTAGATATCAATATTGTTTCATAAAAACTGACCTCATCTGATGCGCTCATCTTGGTACCAGTGAGACCGGGCACTACATAGAAAATCAAGGGAACAGAAAATTAGCCCAAACAACCATCAGTAGAAATGAGGGTACAAAGAACAAAGAAGGATGATAAATGGAGATTGCTGGTGTTAGGATACAGGAGTACATACACATACATACACATACATACACACATACTTAATTGAGACTCCCTTCAACAGGGCATTTCACTCACAATGCTAACTGTTACATAATACATCTGGTAATTAAGGAAACTTATTTACAAACAGTAATTTAATTGAATTCAAAATATATTCAGAGTTCAAAACTATTTTGCATGAAACATATTAAAAAGTATCCACTCAAAACTATTAACTTCTTCAGTGTTCTTCATATTGTTGGCTAGCCCATTCCATTCCCTTGGACCTCAAAAGTAAAATGGCTTTAGCCCCATTTACAATCTACAAAAACCAAATTAGGTATACTGTACAATACCTCGGCAGCAAGATTGAAGAAAAAAGCCAAATCATCTGCATAGGTGGGGGGTTTTACAAGATAATTTTGTTTTGTCAACTGAGTAGATTGATAAATGTAATTTGGTTAGTCTGTAAAGACTTTCTAAAGCTGATCAACAAATCCTAGGCCCACAACCACAGGCTAGATGTCTGTCAACATTCTGGATAATTTCTTACCCATTGGGTTCATAAGATGAATTCTCTTGGCATAACCTAAAGAGGGAAGATACTGAAAAACAGATGGAAATATAATGTTAAGTAAAACAATAACACTGAAGATAACAGGTAGATGAAAATTTTGAGAACATATTAAATGACTACTATGATGGACTTGTTCAGATGTCTGTACTCAAACAGAATCTACTACCTTTTCTGCAAATGTGAATATTTTGCGCTGATCGACACCTCCAAACTGTGCATCTACTTTGAGGTATTCTTCATCAAGAGCCTGTTGTATAAAAAAAGAGATATGTAAAAATGGGTAGTTTTGACAAATGTGATCTGTAAACATGTAATAACTGTTGAAATATTTACTAAAAAGCAATGGGTGATTTGTTTGAATGCATGAAAAACATTTCATTGCGTAGTGTGACCATGAGCAGTTAGTTCTGTGAAGGACTGAGGTTTGTCATAAACACTGATTGAGGTATTTACAACTAGAGAGCAAGATCATTATCAGGAAAAAGTGAATAGTTCCTTATCAGTGGAATATTACAATTTGGACTTGCGGAGACTGATTGCTCAGGTTTGCTGTGATGTTATTGGCAACATGACACAAATACCATTCAATACTGGGATCACCATTTAATACAAGTTACAATATCAAGAAAGTGTATTGAGTATCACTTTACGGCACAAGTGCCAGACTGAGTTCTTTAACTTTGAAGATGTGATTGCTAATCCTCCCCTCAAGCTGCTACACATTTCCTTGTAAATTGGTTAAGAGAATTTGGTATTACACCAAGATAACAAATTCCACCCAATAAAGTTAATTAAAAGTATTTCTCATCACCTGTTTGCTGGAAGTTCATGGATATTTTAGGGAGAAGTTTCCTGTTAATCACTTCTGGGAGTTAACAGATTGTGTGATAATGAAATAAATACAAAGATTGTAACTACAATACCTGAAGTCCAGGGTACAATAGACCACTCAAAAGAGGATGTTGGACTTGCTTAACAACCTCTGAACCAGCTTTCTTTGCATCATGCTAACAGAAATAAATCCAAATAAATCACTTAAAATAGATCCATAACATCTGATTTAGGGAGAATGCATTATTTTCCAATTTAAATTGATTACATGTACATGATAATGGCTAGATTTTCTGATTATAAGGTTTTTAAAATAAAAATAACTTTTTAATGAGATTTTGAGTCATCATGCATCAAATATTTTTGCTCATGCATGACTAATCTAAATGCATTATGTTACCAAATATTCCTCAGCTAAAACTGGGGGATATCTTAAGATATCACCCAAGTGATATTCTCCTATTATCAAACCATACATCCACTACCATAAGTCTTTATTCAAAATTTAATTCAAGATGAGAGAAGATTTTATGATTGTTACAAAAGAACAGATTGAAATATTTGTTTGTTCATAAAGTTGTACCAGAAAACACTAAAAAGAAAACATCCCAACCAGCAAAGAGTAAGCTATTTGTTAACACTGCAAAATACTTGAAGGATAATCAACACAATAACCACAGACTATTTTTTTCAAAAATATGCTTATATATTTGTCCTTAGACATTATTTGTTCCTGGAAACTCACAGTTTCCACAAGCTTAGCTCTCACAAAACTATCTGCACCTTGGAACAGGCAATATCTGCAGTAAAAATATCTGTGCACATTTTTGCACCAAATAAAGGCTATTGTTTATTTAGAAATGTCAAGCAGTAGTAACATTACCTCAGTGGCAACAGTGGAAAGTTTAAATATGTCCAGGACATAGGCTCTGAGAAAACACAAAGAGGAACAAAAAAATAAATCACTGTGCTGAATGAAGGCAACAAAGAGAGCAACACATGAAGTCTCAAACCACCAGCTCTAGAGCAGCTGATATTGGGTAATATTAATGATATTGGAACATCACAAAATGTTTACAATTACCTGTCCAGCTGATACTCTGTTCCTCGCACAAACTTTAATTTATCCAGGGGGACATTGATTGACTCTAGCATTGCCTACATGATAAAACCCAATGCGTAATGTCACCCCAAAATCATATTCATATCAGAGTTTGATAGACAAAGCCATTCATGATTTGTCATCTTTAACCCTATAACCCCCAAGATCTGATTGTTAATTCTCCCCTATAGATGCAACAAATTTCCCTGTAACTACGTTATGAGAATTAGGTGTTAGATCGAGACAACAACCTGTACTTGATAAGTTTGAGAATTCTCATCACATCTTTGCTGGATAATGTATGGATATTATAGGGAGAAGTAACATATTAATCACTCCTGGGAATTAAAGGGTTAAAGAATAGTTACATGCGGAGACACGTTAGAACTAAGACATTGGTTGTCATCTGGTGTACATTCAACATCCATAATTATTTTCAACTTAAGTCCTTCCCAGGACTACTCTCACCCAGTCAATCAAAATAAATGATCAAATGTTTCACCTTAGTTCAAACAATTCACTGTAACAGGAAAAAGACTGACAAGTGTCATCAAAATCCAACCTTAATCACTTCTTCGTAATACTTGACTCTGTGGGCTAACAGTTCCCAAGGTGCTTTCAGATTATCCAAATATGCATGAAGGTCAGCTAAAAGTACTGTCACCTACAAAAAAAAGCAAATGTTTCCATTATAGTACAAATAAAGTTATTCAAAAGCATAATGGTATATTTTATGCAGTGCAAAATGTATCATAAATATAATTCAAGCTCCAAATTCCTTTCTTGCTTTTCAGTGGTTAGTACTATTGATTAGATCCAAATACTGTCATGACAGAATATTTTTTACAACTATTTATAGTCATTTATAATGAAGTGATATCTCTTGGCAGTCCTATAAAGCTTATTAAGCCATATTAACTTTTCTCTCCTTTATCCTTAACCCTTTAACTCCCAGAAGTGATAAATATGTAACTTCTTCCTATAATATCCATACACCATCCAGCAAACAGGTAATGAGAAAACCCAGACTTATCAGGTAGAAGTTGTTATCTTGATCTAACATCAAATCCTCATAACTAACTTAGAAAGAAATGTCTAGCCGCAAGGAGGGAGAATTGACAATTGGATCTTGGGAGTTAAAGGGTTAACATTTTTACACTGAAGTTCCCTTCCTCAGGCTTGTGATAATTTCACATAAAGGGGGAGTTTTTGTGTTACTGGACAATGTTTACACTGGGTGACAATTTCATTTTGACAATAAATCTTGAAACAATATCATGTTAATATTGAGGAAAAAACTACATAACTTTTTTTATGTGAAATTGGCTTTCAATTAAACTAGAATGGATTGGGCACTTAATTTTCATCAATTCTAGATGGAATGCATTGTCATTTTAAACACGGAACAAGGAGGAAAACAAAAAATACAAAATGTAATAAAAAATTAAGAAATTGTTCTGGTATAAAGCATGTCATAACACCAATAAGCATATTCAAGCTGGTAACACACCTCACAGCCTGCCTTGAGGAAGTCAGCTATTTTTGTCATTGGTACAAAGTATGCAACATGTGGTTTTCCTGTTGTAGCTGTTCCCCAGTACAAAGATAAATTTTTCTCTTGTAAAATTGTTTTTAAGCGATCCTCACCGATAACTTCCTATGAAAATAATAAACAACATAATGTGACGTAAACTATAATAAAAATTGATTCTCTCCATGAATAGGTAAGTCATCTGATAAAGATTTGAGCATCTCAGTATATAGTGATCATTATTAGCCTAGCCAATATAATGCAGTAGATCTACTAAAGCTGAACATCCCTCTCCCAGCCACACAGAAACATATCAAACCTCTCATGTGTGGACACCTCACTTAATCCTCCACTCCCAAGATATCATTATTAATTCTCCTTACTGTCTGCTATACAAATCTTACAATGCTAGTTGAGAGAATTTGGAATCTAATGATAATCCCCAACCAATATGTTTCTTTATTCCCATTACTTATCAGCTTGATAATGTATTAATGTTGTACACAGTGGTGCATCCAAACCTTGACCTGAAGGGGGGGGGGGGAGGGGAGACCTGGTTTTTTGTTGCCTGCCCTGCCAGCTTTTTTTTCCTCTGTTTTTCTTTTTTTTTTTTTTTGTAACCAAAATAAAGAAAGGGGGGTGGGCCCCCTAGGCTCCTCCCTTAGATCTGCCACTGATAGGGAGATATTCTGTCTTGGTCACTCAGGAGAGTTTAAGGGTTATCAATGATGAAGACATGGTCATTTGCATTAGACTAAATGTTTCTCTCTTTTATCAAGCATATAAATATTTTGCGGTTTCCCCCCTATAATGAAGACAACTCTTCATTCTGAAGAAATAACTGGTTGAATTTCTATATAGCCCCATACAACTCTTAACAAAGTTACAGTCCCAAAGATTACATCATAGTCCTCTTTATCCAAGAACTTTATGCATAATAAAGTATGTGGCTGTGAGAAATCTCTTCAATAACCCAAAATATTGTGGCAAAGTGCCATTAAGCATATAGCTCTTTTTGTGAAAATCTGAAATATGTCTAATTATATTAAATTGGACAGTGAGTGTGGGGATTCGAAGTACATACCATTCTGCAATAGGAAATCCCCTACATAGATAAAAAAATTCACCCAGAATTCCAACCATTAAATTCCCCTGATATCAAAATCCAGTCACTTATCTACTTGTAAAAGACTATGATGGCAAAATCTCATTTACAAAAAGGTTGAGAGGTATTGAATGTTTCCTTCCTTCCATCAATATTCCACTTCATCTTTTCAGACCTCCTTCAAAGGAAGTAATATCTGTTAGGTCTCATTACCCGTCTCGTATATTTCTTGTTTTCACACAAACTACTCTGGAAAGATCTCTGTGATAAAGCGTTTGATTCATACCTTTTTCTTAAGTATTCATACCAGATAATAAAACAAAACTACTGAAAATGAAAACCTATTTCCCTATATGTTTCGCCACAATGTAGCGCCAGAGCAGACGCGGATGAAAAAATAAGCGAATTACCCATTACATCATATCGAAATATAATTGGAGAAAGTTCCATAACTTCAATCCACTTTTTCCTGAATTCGAATATAAACATCTGAAACCCTCACCTGTAAATTTCTGGTGATCAAATTGAATTTTTCGTCAGCAGAATACGAATCATTCGAAGCCATCCCAGTCGAATTGATGATCGAGGACAAAAATATGCGAGTATAAATATGTGGATTGAGTAACAGTCTACAGTTTCTCAGCTGATTTACACCAAAAGAAATCCTTGAGGTAAGCACCCGCGGAAGCATACAAGGAGATTGCCTAAAAAATTATATTTAACCTATGTTTCCCTTTTCTCGTGTGTTCGGGTCAAGTTGTTCTCACGCGATAACCTCTTTCGAAAGAAAATGCTTGGGTACCTAGCCTTCTGTAAAAACCCTTTGGATGCTGGGGAGAATCGCCCCAGGTAACCTGAAAAGTTGTTAGGATTCTTAACCTTTGGTTACAACTTCCTCAGACCGAGATTCTTAAATACACTTAGGACAACATTCTAAATAACTATTTTATTTTCAATCTTCATCCCTTGTGTCTATTTTCAAGGATACAATTGCCCTCAACCCTTATGAGTATTCTATGGCGTTTAGAACATAGCATTTGCCTTACGATTTTCTTTTTTCATGACTAGCCCACACAGATGGGTGGCTTTTACAAAAATAAGTTACAACACTTTTAAAAATTTGGTTGTGCAAGTCACCAAGAAAAAGAATGCTTAATCTAAACCTTCTTCATTTACATATCAAAGTTGTTTTGCAACGATTTAGTTAAGAGTTCTGTAGCTTGCTAACATCGGTTAACAAATTCCTCAGTCTCTACGTTAATGACAAATTGTTTAAACATCATTACGTTTTATATATATACCCAAGGTTCAAAGGGTCTTGAAAATTTTCGTTTGGTTAAAAATTATTAAGTAGTCTTATCATTAAACTCAAAAAATCATGAACTCTTTGATTTAATCTGACAAGTAAATTTTGTACTGATAGATCATGAGCTTCTGTCGATGCCCACAAACAAACCTCAAAGTGACAAACTAAGTCCTTCCCTTTTCACAGTTCAGTTTTTTTTTAAACACAACAACAAGCCATAAAGTATTTCCAATATTTGTGGTCAGTTTCTAAGTTTCACAGTGATGGTATCAATCCCAAGACCAAATCCAAATATTTCTATGAGGAGCTGACACAGAATTTAAAATAATTTTGTTTTCTTTATTATTCATAGCCTCTTGAGGTTGAAAAAAAGGTGTAGTAGTTACAGTGTTCTATAACTAAAATCATAGCTGAATAAATACAGTATATGCTTCCAATAAAAAGAAATGAAAATTCAGTAAAAATTGGGATAAACTTGCTAAAGGTCAACCCAAATTTTTTTTTAAATTTACACATTATCTGTGCATCAGTCCTCTCAAACTTTGCACCTCCATGCTCATTTGCAGCAATTATTTTGTGTTTTCTTAGAGTTTCTGTCATTAACTAAGACAGTCACTTCTCACTGAATGGACACCCCCATAGAGCAGACACCTTCAAATAAGGGACAATCAAAAGTAGTCCCAACCATTTCACTGACAAAAAAACTTAGCTTATTTCAACCACAAAAAGGAGGGATTAGTGTTGACAGTGTGCACCCCAGAAAGAGTCGACAATTCAATCTATAGCAAGTCAGCCAGTGTGTACATTGTATTTCAATGTACTACCAAACCCCATTACCTAAATGATCCTGTAACTACAAAATCATTTACAATGTTGACATTAAGACCACCTCCATGGCTAAAGGCCAAAGATATCAGTATGTTGGATATGTCTGCTGCTGATAGTTATAACCATACTGATTGTACCCTTGCTGCTGTGAATACTGTTGGTTGGTAGGATACCCTTGAGTACTTCCATAAGCATTCTGTGTAGCAGGCTGCTGCTGCTGCTGCTGTTGCTGCTGCGGAGGTACATAAACCTGATAGCTCTGTGTCTGCGTCTGTCCTGCAGTTGAGTAGGGTGCTGCCCCTGCCGGTGAGCCGGTGGGTGGTGGGTAACTTTGTTGACTTGGTTGACTATAAGGCTGCTGCAGCGGTTGGCTAGCTGGGTACCCTGACACAGAACTTGTCATACCTGGGTAAGAAGATTGCGTCTGGGTGGAGGTGGGGGCATAAGACTGCGGAGCATTTTGTCCAGTTTGTGTAGCCTGCTGAGGATACTGAGTTTGCTGGGCATATGATCCAGCCACTTTGTTGGCAGGTGATGGTGTAATGTTCTGCTGCCCTGGAGCCTGCATCTGCTGTGATGCTGGGATGGACTGTGGAGGGTACCCTTGTGAGGTTGGCTCTTGGCTCTTGGAACCTGCTATTCAAAAGGCATTAAAAATTATTCATGGAAACTGTACAGTTTCTACCCAATAAAACACTGAAACATCTAAACAGTAAATCAGACACCACTATTTTATTCATCTGCCCTTCTAAAACCTGCAAAAAAGTCATATCTTTTTTCTGAATTTTGAGTTTTAATTTATCAATATCTTCCCTCCTTATTGAACCTATGCTGTAAAGGACAACATCAGTAAAATGCTATCTCTGGATAGAGTCTGGTAGATGCAGTGACCTAAAAATTACAACCCAACAAATTACAAGGAAGGAGAGAGGAAGGATATTCTGCAATGGAATAACATCCCATCCAAGAGTGGGTTGGCAATACTCCAAGTCCCTTTTATATTACTGACACTTACTTTACATCAATTAAGGCATGAATGGTGTCATAAAGGGGGTAAGTTTCTAAAGAAACTGTGGTGCTGCGTTGGTGGGAGAGTATAATGGGATAATTTAGTGTTATCAACTGGGTTGAAGACATAAATTGGCCATCGTAAAGAGTTTTAAGGCTGACATTTCAAGCATTAGCCCTTTGTTAGAGGGATAGGTGTCAGATCATCAAATTGAAGCCAACCACAAGCAATTTGAAAGAAGGAAAACAAAGAACCATTACAGACACATTTTTCTCCAACTGGAATTTGTGTATGGCAGTTTGATTGTTTTTCTAGGTTACTCCATGATTGTATTTATGGTCTTTCACAAACCTATTCCTTCAGTAGTGCCTGCAGTGCTAGGGTACAGGTGTCCTGAGATGTTTCCCGTCGAACTGTCTGGTTGTGCTTTGTCCTTAGCAAGAGGATCAAACATGGTCACCTCAGGGGTTGGTTTGGGAGGCATTTGGGCTGGAAGTGTTCTTTCATTAGGGGGACCTAAACAGAAACAGAGCATAAAACTATGGGCCATTTTCCTGATACTGATTTAGTTAGAATGTTTTGACCATCACAATTAACACGAAAAGGAAACACTGCATAGGGACAAGCAAATAGTCCACTTTCATCATTTTCATTTCTAGCTCCAGACCCATAAGTACAAAAAAATTCAATGAGAGTTGTGATTGCTCCACTTAAACCCTTTACACCCTAACATCAGTATGTATATTCTCCATACTGTTTTCTGTAGATTTCTTAAGGAATTGACAAAAAGAATTTGTTTAACAATCAAGGGCTTTTTCAGTTGGTGATCATTTCCTTTATTGTTGCGAGCTAAATGTTTGATTCAGGGATGATATTGTAAGGAGAAATTAGATGCCAGTTAGAAGTCAACTCAATTCATGATCCCTGTTCAAAGCATAATGAGCATGGTAAAAAAAAAAACTAATCCAAACTCTTCATTACAACTATGACGATGCATATTGGAGATTCATGAGGCAAGCAAATGCTATTACCGAAAACTTTCCAGGATACTACTTCTAAGAACTTGAAATTTTTAAACAGCTGACTTTCTTTACAAACCTTGCATACTAGGTATATCTTTTGGCTGTTCTTGTCCACCCTTCCTCTCCTCATTTTCATCCTTTACTTCCAGTCTATTCAGAAGATAATTAATCCTATCCCTAACCTCTGTCAATTCCCTTCTAAACTCTGCAACCAGTGTGTGTTCAGGAGGTCTAGGTACACCATTAACTGCAGAGGAAATTGTTTAAATGATCATGATTTAAAATTGACAAGAATTCTACCACAACTAGAATTAAAAAAGAAATTGACAGAGAAACAAAAATTTAAATTTTACTGAGCAATAAAAGACTTGCTGGAGATTGAAAACTTTCAGACAGCAGTCCTCAAACATTTGCCATTTGTCAAGTTTGGAAATCTAGTTTGCATATTCCATAATTGTCTTTACAGAATTCCTCTGCTCGTTTCAAAAACTTAAGCAATACAACTTATGATATAGCTAGTTATCCCTAAGTTAAATCTCAAGACATGTGTCAAGGTATTAAACTTAATGAATGAAACAGTCCAAGGATAACATCTTTGCATCGTTAGGAACATACTCACAAAAAGAAACGTTCCACAAGTAAATGTAATTTAATTAACTTACCAAACAATGTAATCTTTAATATTCTGCATATTGTTCGTGCAAAGGCAAGATCAGAACTGTCGAAAATAGTTACTAGATCGCCATCTGAAACAGAGGGGAAAAACTATTAAATGAAGCTTAGTGTCGTGCCTAAAGGAATGGTTTTCAACAATCAGCCGAGTTTATCGTCAAATCTGAAAGCCAAAAAGACCAGTCGACTAAACTCACCTTCATCCTTATATTTGATGGTAATATCATCTGTGCTACTAAGTTTACCACGGTAAACTCTCTGCATCATCAATAGTAGATCATCATAAGTCAAATCTTCGTTGTGAATTGGAATGCATCTTATATCATCCCCTAGACGAGCCTTAATAATCAATGTACCACTGAGATCTACATTGCCGCCTACAAAATTGACTCCTCTATTTCCAGGAACTCCAATTGAGAATGTCTCTGGAGTATAATTCATTTCCGAATGGGTATAAAAGTCGTGACAATTTCTATTTTCCAGTACTGTCCTTGTGACAAAAATTACGTTGCTCTTCCAGAACTCAATGACTTCATTCGTTTCCAGTCTTCCAAAGATTAATCTTAATACTTGTACGCAGTACTTCTCCGACATAATCAAAGAACGCCTTGAAATTCTCTCTGCTATTGTCACCATGTTTTCACGAATCTTTTTACAAAATAGTTTCTATCGCCATTTTCTATCTACTTTTAATAAAAGATATTACAAGAAGAAGTCATGGAAGGTAAGATGTATGCAGTTTTAATCATAACTGAAAACATTGCCTTGGGTAACTGGTTATTATTGATCTTATTCACATACTGCGGCTTCGATATATTCACGATCAAAGTGTAAATTCATGGCCTTTTTCAAAGGTAAAATATTGCACATGATCACATTTTCACAGACCTAAGAGAGGCTCTAACATAGAAATGTGTTTTGAAAAACTGCGAGGCCCAAAGACAACCAACGTTCTTCGAGCTAAGGCTTGCTAGTCACCAATCCCCCCAGAGTATTGAGTATGGAAGAGCTGATTGACAAATTGTCATCAGGCTTTTAGACTTGATTACCAGCTGCTGTTCGGAAAATGAGCCCGCACTCAACCCCCACCACCCCCCCCAAGTCACAATCATTTTTTCTCGCAAGGATGGAACATTAAACTTGAGAAAACAGCAGAAACCGAACCTATTGGGCTTTCAGCTCTTTAAATAGCTATAACAGGGATCTTTATTTTTAATATCTTATCTTTTGTTTTAGATGCAAAGGAAAAAAGCTTCTTCTTTGGAACATTTTGAAACCTTTTATGCTGACCAGTTTGGTGAGAAGTGGCCTATGATTTTTGAGTCACTTAAATTACCAATCCAGCACTGTGCAATGGTCAACAAGTTTTCTGCAGTTGAAGAAGTGCAGGAAAAACTCTCTTTGGTGGCAGCACGGCCTCAAAGTGTAGAACCTTTTACAAGCACCCTTAGTGAAGATGAGCAAAGTCAACTTACGTTGTCCTGTTACTTTCCAAGTTCTGAGGAAAGTGTTAGATTTCCCAAGCAAGGAGAGACAAGCAATGGATTTTTTGATTACTATCTTCTGGATGCTTCATCTCTCCTACCCGTTTTAGCTCTTGACATTTGTCCAGACAATACAGTGCTTGATATGTGTGCTGCTCCTGGAGGTAAAAGTGTCCTGATATCACAGTTTCTTTCAATAAGAGGTTGTATTATTGCCAGTGAAATTGCAAACCAGAGAAGGGCAAATCTTATTAAGGTAGGAGTGATTAACCTCTGAGGTAACCATGGTGATTTGTTTAAGAAGCATGCTTCTCAAATGTGTCAGACAGCAATTTGTATTGTGGCCATTCATCCACAGAAAATCGTTATAATTAGGTTTTTCTGATTTGAAAGACTATTTGAATAGATTTAAAATGAGTTCATTATGAAAAAAAATTGGTAAATCGAGAGGGAGGGTCCTGGGGTGTGGCCCTCCCCACTCCCACATAGGAGCTGTGAGCTTTTTTAACTTCATGTCAGACGCCAAAATTCTAGCAACAACAGGATTGCATGTGACTACTCAATATGAAGTATTTAAATTTAATTGTCTTGAAACATTTCTCAGCTTACTTAGGCTATGGTAAAAAAAATGTGTTTTCTAAATTAAAGCTTTAAAGCTCAAAAATTTCAGGATTCATCCCTGAAAAGGTTTATGTATTACTGTTCTTTCTGATCTTCTTGGTTAGGTAATTAAAGACTACATACCAAAGATCTCCAAAACTAAAGACTTGGTGCATGTCAGGAGCTTGACAGGTTTCAAGTACGGCGAGTACGAACCAAACACGTATGACAGGGTATTACTTGATGTACCATGTTCTGCTGAGCGACATAACTTGCACACAAACTTTGAGTTTAGTTTTTGGTCAGAAAAACACTCTGCAGCAAACGCTAACATACAGAAGAAGCTTCTTATGTCTGCGTTACAAACAGTTGTTCCTGGCGGTATAGTGGTTTATTCTACTTGCTCCATGTCGCCGATAGAAAATGACGGAGTCATAGATGAGGTTTTATCAAAATGTTCAGGAAACAAGCAGCTCAAAGTTGAAGTTGTGGACTCGCAGTTTGCAAATAATTCGTTTGCGAAAATGTTTGATTACAGAACGACCAAACACGGGGTACTTGTCGTCCCTTCTAAGACTAAGAATTGGGGTCCGATGTATTTTTGTAAACTTCAACGACTGGCTATCGAATCTGAGCAATTCTAAACCAAATCTGAACTCAGATACTTTTTTTTTAAGTGGGTTCAAATGTGTAACTCTAGAGAAGTGTACACGATGATTTGAAATACAAAATCAATATCATTGAGCGTATCAAACGCCATAATATGACGAATTAAGATCTTTTATCTACCCGATTGATAGAAGAGAACGTGAATCTTTTTTTTTTTTTTTTTGCATGAATAGCCACAAATAAAAAGTCTAGTTCATCACTTCTTCCCAACTTCAGGTAATTTATTCCATTCTTTTCTTGAAAGTTCTCTGTAAAAATCCACTGGCCTCCATAGAAATCTTTCATCCAGGCCCTGATCTAATCCTGCGAAGCATCAGTGAAAGATTTGTGAACGCAATTCCTCGTGTGTTATACTGCTTCTTGTAAACCACAACTTTTCATATCCTTTCTTTTTAAAACGCAGTTTACCCGTGATTTTGTCAAAAATCCAAACTCTCGTATAACGCGCATTATTTATATGCGTAATGATGGCTTTAATTGATTATTGTACGCAATTCGTTTTACACTGTTTTGGAAACAGAGCAATTAACAGGAATTCGTCACTAACTGTGTATTAATGTTAAAAAAAAGAATATGATACTAGCAAAAATTCTTTTCCCCGACAAAGGCTCAGAAATCCGATCACGCGCTGACGATGATGCAGTAACTTTCTTCGAGCAACGAAAGGTTTCTAAACAATTTCTGAATGAAAGGCCCCGCAGACAACTACTACAACTGACCATGATAGAGATATATTGAAGATATTTTGAAGATGACGGGGATATCTCTTGAATAGGTACAGGCAATTATGCCTTTTGACCAATAGTGTGGATCCTCTTCATTATGATGTAACCCACGCAATAAACCCGACACAAACTCATTTGACTCCCACAAAGTACCGGTAACTTCCAAATTTGATATCTTAGTATTATCAACTGAGTTAATAACCTAAATTGGCCACCGTCAAGAGTTTTAAAGTTCACGTTTCGAGCGTTAGCCCTTCGTCAGAGCGGATAGAGGAATTGTGGGTTGTGTATGCGTTTATATGCAAAAAATGGATAATACTAAATTACCTTAATAAAGTACAAAATTACCCTATTATAGTCTCCCAACGGCGCAGAACCACACAATCTTTAGAAACTTACCCCCTTTATTCATTTGTCTTTAAAATTTGTGTCGCACCCGTCGCCTCTTTATGGTCCCGGATGTATTTCCTTCAAGGCACATTAGCCCTTCGACTCCTAAGGTGACTAGCATCTAATTTCTCCTTACAGTTTCACCCCTGAATCAGATATTAAGGTAACGAGAATAAAGGAAACGATCGCCGACTAAAGAAGCTCTTGATTGTTTAATAAACTCTCCTTGTCACCAGCTTGGGAATTGTATTTTGAACAGAGTGGATAAAAAAGCATACTGATGTTAAAACGAGAAGGGTTATTAAGTATTTGGTAAGTTGTATTCTATTCCTTCCAGATCCACGTTAGGTTTTAGCCATTTTTCGGTTTTTCTTTGTAGAGAAGAAACATCTGTTTGAGGCTCTAACTATTTTATTGACCTCCAGTTTAACAGAGGAACATCAGGGATTTTGAAATAAACGATATTATGAAAAGAAATACAGACAAAATGATAAGCGACTGAAACGTCATGAACGAAAAAGAACAATGAATGATAAACGAGAAATTCTTCATCTCGATCATCTCATCTCAATCATCTCATCTCGATCATCTCATCTCGATCATCCCTAACGATCACAAAATTATCTTGAACCAATTATATTACACCAATTGTCTTAAACCAAACGTGTGGAAACGTCTTGTTGTTCTATTTAAACAAGATGCTGTCATCTAAGTCAAGTAATCGAAGTCGCACTATGACCACCATTAAGTGAAAAATACTTGGAACAGTGGTCTTTTTTGATGATCATGATGAAGCATATAATTATTCAATTACGGATATTAGTATCCTTCATCATTCATTTTCGCATTCAATTCGCATCCACTACCACCACAAACCCACATGTCTTGAACGAGTAGCCGCAGGATGTGTTATCGTGGGCACATCGCATGTCTTCCTCCATCCACAGGCAGTGTAGCACCGGTTATGAAAGACGCGTCACTTGAAGCCAGAAAAGCGATCACATTGGCTACTTCTTCTGCATTTCCAGGACGCCCCAAGGCATGAGTTTCCTTTGAACGTTCTAAAAACTGCGCAAGGAAAAACAGATATAGAGTAAAAGTGAATCAAAGACAAATGTACGGAAAACTATTTCGTTATCAGCGAGATAAGACTTTTTCGTGGTGTTTACATTGAGGGAGGAACTGCCATAGCCTTTCCCAGTTGTTCAGTAAGTAAACAGGGGGGAGTAGGGTAGAGAAAAGAAAATGGTGACGGAGAGCGAAAAATGGATGGAGGTTTGCGACAAGTTGTTTGGTTATGACGCACGTGCGCTCGTGTTAGCCACGCCCGTGTGAGTTGCACATTTCTGGTTTGCCAGCTATCGAAAGGACTCCCATTCGGGGTGTAGGGCGAGCTAACATCGTGACGAGGGGAAAAAATATTCGTATCGGAAGAAAAGACACCAACAAGAGAAACAAGCAGTCTTTAGCCAGGCTAAGCTACAGTTTCTTTAGTAACTTTTCTTCTCAAATGGCGTAGTTACGCCCCATTCTTTCTAAAGACGGGACTGTTTTATATCCTCTAAAAAATACCGAGCATTATGAATTGAATACTAATCTCCAAATGGTGGAACAGTGGTAAAGAGAGGGATGAAATATACCCGCACACAATGCTTTCATGACGCAACTCGACACATAACGTACCTTTTGGTAAGCTTCTTCGTTAAGCCCTCCTCGTTTCTGCAATTCAGTAATCGTAACACCAGGGCTGATGAGCGGAAAGTGAAATATAAAAAAAAAAAGCTAGCATCTCCATCTCTCTCTAAGGTTAGAATTCTTGTTTTTATTGTTTCCTCTTTTTTCCAAGAACTTTTGTTGCATTGCCTTTGATTTTAACTGACATCCTAGACCTACCACCTAAAATTGTTTTGTTTAATGACAATACTTACTTGACTGAGTTACAGCGGATCTTCTTTGGTGCAAGTTCTAATGAAATAAACAATAACAAGACAGTCGTTATTGCAGGACACTTCTCTCAATGTTTCTAAGAGCAGCGTCCACCATTAATAATAAAAACCCCTTCTTGGGTGTTAAGAACATTCCTTAACAAAGAAATTCTCACAAGTTAAGCAACCTCTAACACAAGTTAAAAAATTATGTAATTATATTAATTCATATGTAAACCTCACATAAAACAGAGCAACTAATCAGCAGTAAAACCTCTAATATAAAACTGAAATCTGATAAAAGTGAAGCTCAAATCTATTTTAGTCCTATTAGCTGCTTAAATCTGGTGGTTACATCTCCTTAAAAGAGTTACTACAGAATCTCATTAGTAATTCTCCTTACTGTCTACAATATAGTTCCTGTGACATTAGTTTGGAGAATTTGGTATAAGATCAAATTAAGATTTTTCTTTATTCTCATCACTTGTCTGCTTGACATTGTATTGATATTGTAAGGAGAAATTCTGTCTTGGTCACCCATGGGAGTTAAAGGGTTAAAACAGATGGACAACTTACCGACCTCAGTCCATTGACACTTGACACATTAACAATGCACCCTGTAATTAGAGAAGTATTCAAAATATGAAAATTGATTCAAGAAGAATGTAGTGAAAGATGAAAAATAGGTTTTGCTTGCACCTCACAATTGATGTTATTCAGAAAAAAAAAACAATCCAAAACATGATACAACTAACCTTGTGTTGGTGTTAGAAATGGAACTGCTAGAGAAGTTAAATAGAACACTGACCTAGGAAATGTAATCAAAATAACAGAAATTAAGCAGCCCAATTATACTTGAAAAAAGTCTGTCCTCGATGATAAGACAATTGACTAAAGATTTCTCTTCAAGCTCATACCTCACATTGATTCTCATGATCTGATCAAATAAATCCAAGGAAGTGTTCTCAATAGTTCCCAAACCAGATATTCCAGCATTGTTAACCTTGAAATGGATCATTGCAATTAATAAGTTACTCTGCATCAAAATTTGTGAAAGAAAATTCTACAATGCAAAAGCCAGCAGTTAAGACATAGCTGGTATTAAATATTATCCAAGTTCTGAGTCAGACATAAAAAATACCTGTACAGAAGCTGTTTTCATAGATTGATAAATGAAGTGAGCACATTTTTGAAGCTTTTTATTCACCAAAGAAACAATTTTTTTCTCTGGAGTAAGCTTTACAGAAGAACAACAAAACAATTTCTTACCAAAATATCCAGCTTTCCATAATGTTTGATTGTGGTTCCTAGAAGCGTCTTTACATCTTCATCTGTTTCCAAATCACCTTGCACTGGAAGAACCTTAAGTTGAAAATTTTTAAACTTGAAAACAATTAGCAATTAGGCAGTTCAACCAAGGAGACTCCAAAATTTTATCAAATTAAGGAGACCAAATTAAATGTATTGGGGACCACCCAATGATACAGAACTACAAGAATTTTGCCAGGGAGATGGAAGAAAAAATAGCCACTGATCTGCTCAACTCTCATTTCATGGTTTTGTCCACAAACTCTCCTTCTCAACAATCTGTACATACATTCATTTCTTTGTTCTTCTATTTACCTATTTATTCATTTATTTATTCCATTCTATTTTTTCTGTTGTTGAGCTACCTGAGCATCATTTCTTGCTTCTTGGCAGTGAGCTGCTACTTTTTCAAGGTTGGCTTTATTTCTCCCCCCAAATGCCACACTGCATCCAAGCTTGGATAACAGCAAAGTTGTTGCTTTACCAATACCTGAACTGCCACCTAGAGTTTAAGAAGAATGGTCACATTAATTTCATAGAGATGAGCTCCCAAGAAAAAATATTTACTATTCATAAAATGCACGGCTAAACTGCAGAATACCCTGCCACTCATTTACATGTCATTGAATAAGAACAGCGTCTATTGTATTATGCCTCGTTCTTGAAAGCCTCACGACACATGTAAATGGGGTGGACCAAAGTGGCAGGGTATTCTGCAGTTACTTCAAATGCACTACTCATTGAGTGTACTAATTACAAAAATTATAGTCTGATGCAAAAATTATCACTGCGCAAATTCCACATTTATCTATTCAACGAGACTCTCGGGAAAACAAAAATACGAAAAATTGTTTCCCTCACCAGATATTTAAGTACTTAAATTTATTGTTATATATCTGACTGGGTGATTGTAATAATTAATTGACTATAACTAGGTGGGAAAACTTTGTTGATATAAAAACTAAAAGGTAATTCGATGCGGATTGTTTTGTACTTTACAATTCACCGTAGGAGACGACTGATTGAGAGAAAAACTACAGAAGGAGCAGATACTTATTTTAATCGCAATTATATATACAAGTATGCGACTTAAAAGCTCAGAATTTACCTGTTATTAATGCAACTTTGCCTGCGAAAGACATCCCTCCCGCCGCCATTTTGGATTTTTCCAGTTGTTGAATCGCTCTTACATCGAGAAGTGTGGATGGACTGGAGAATAAAGGTTTGCGGAACGAAACAAAAAAATGCACCAGCTCCAAAAAACACAACCTTAGATCATGAGAAACCATAAAAAAACGAAGATGATGAAAACTGAAAAAAAAAAAGAACACAACAAAACTAAGGAATAAGACGGAAAATAAATACGCAGAAGTGGAATGTATGATAATACAGAATCCTTAGCTGTTTTCTTTTGTCACGCAATGACGTGTTCCCAACGAGTTGCGTGTCATTCCCAAAAACGACATTTACCTCAAGATTTAATTCTCAGTTACCTTGAGTCAAATTACATGAAACTTAAAAAGGTTAAAATTGTTGTTCAGCAATCTTCTTGGTTATAAAGTTTTCGAAAGAGAATGGAGGACTTAACTGATACTATTCAAACTACCAGGATCCAACAACTTTTTGTTGGGCACTAGCTACAACCTTAAAGTAGTATGTAGGGAAGGATTTCACGAGAAAAGGGTTAAGGGAGACCGTAACTGACTTATTGGCCGATATGGTTCTTAAGGTGTATTCGGTCTTTTTATCTTTCAATTTCGTCGAGGGAGAACAAAAGACAGTATTTATTTACCAAGAAAACTTGAAGGCGAAAGAGATCTACACTTCCCAAACTTAAAGGAGCAATTCATAAACGCACCCAGGGCTGTCCGCCCGGGCGCACCCATTGAAGCACTTGAGCTGATGATCCTTCGCAAATATTCGTTTACAAATCTTACAATTATGATGTGCGCACAACTTGGTTGGCCAAAAAATGGTCAAGGTCATGGAATTTTCTCGTCTCTCAAATGATGCAGCGAGTTGAAGTTGAAATGATAACTTAGTGGCGACTGTGATGTTCCTCGATAACTTATCAGTCAACTGAAGCCCATGTTTAAAGGTTGTCCTCGCGTCGTGCTGAACCGTAAGGCATTGTCATACAGTGGAAACATCTTTGGTCCCTCCCGAAAAAATGCTTCAAGAACATTTGTATGTTTTACCGTCATTTAGGCGAGCCCTTCTTTCTGGGGACACTTTTCCTAGTCTCTAGGGCATAAATGCGCCTTTGAAGACTGCGGAAATCGACGAGTGAAGACCCTTTAATTTCAACAAGAATATTTGCTGTCTGAAATCCGGCACCCTGCAATTACAACCACCGTTTCCAATGCGCAATAAATAATTGGATTTTTATTTTGTCGATGCCAGAGAGAAAAACGATTTGAATAAAACTCGCGACTATGTCTTATCATTGACATTGGTAAATCATGTGAGGTTCTGCTTATAGTGCTACAATTACAGAGACTTATCTTTCTATTCAAACTTTCCACCCTTCGCTCCCGAAGAAATGTAACAAGCTTTAATAATTTATAAGCAGGAGCATTCAGTTTGTATTTCTTTCATCTCGGACACATGGCATGTCTTCCTCCATCAACAGGCAACGAAGCACCTGTCATGAAAGACGATTCACTGGATGCAAGGAAAGCAATTACACTCGATACTTCATCCACATTTCCTGGTCTTCCCAAGGCGTGAGTTTGTTTGCAACGTTCTAGAAACTGCACAAAAGAACAAAAAAGTTTTAAAACAAAACAAATTCGACCATCAAGTCCACAGTATACTTGCGTATTAGTTTTTGGCTCTGGGACTTTGGAACGACAGTCAGTAGCAAAATTGCTTATGACGCTGAGCAAAAAGAGACCGTTCCTTTTATTTTCCAATTTCTCTGCCCTCTCTACTCCAAAACAACATTTAACTCCGGCCAGAGGGGGAGCAACACCATTAACCATCTCGCCCATACCTTGGTCAACTCGCCACACCGCTAGAGATGACCGGGTACTATGCGCGATGTTTGAACTCTAATGGAGGGTAAAGTTACCTTTGCGTAAGCCTCGTCATCCATACCTCCCCGTTTATGAATTTCAGTGATTATTACTCCAGGGCTGCAAATGAAAACAGAAGTATCACAGCAGATAAAGATACCACAGCTAAAATTGAGTTCAAAGATTAGAGAGAAAACATCACTTCTGCAAGTTTGTCTGTTGTTTTTTTTTTTTAAAGGACTACTTTTCTTTTCTTTTTACAATTTGATCGTTGAAGCATTCACGACTTTTTTATAGTAATACATAGACAATTCTCTGAAATCCGTTACCTACTGTGTCTTAGAGGGAAAAACCTCGCAAGATGTTTAAGTAAAATTCAACTGAGCTTCGTCAAAACCAAAGTAGTTATGACGACCAACGAGAAACCAATGAAAATACACGGCACGAAGAAACAATCTGTTCGAAGCGCGGCAAATGTGAGGCTGAGAAAGTAGCCAAAATTTTCTTTGTCAATCAGTGAGTAAGGTAAAGCAAACAAATACTATCCCGATTACTTGGAGCGCTTCTCGATGGAGTGTCATCAAACCAAAACAAAAGTTATAACGAAGGGCAATCAGAAGAAAGGAAATTATCTTTAAACACCAACGAGAACTCAAAGTTAAACAGAACGAACAGTCTAAAGCGCGGGAAGCTGCGAGCGACCAAGTCGTGATTGGTTTCAGTTTCGCATCATCTGATTGGTTCAGAGAGCGGCACAAGTTATAAGGACCACATAGTAAAGTAAAGCAAAAACAGAGCAATCCCGGATTCTTTCGACACTGTATTAAAAAATTGCTCTAAGAGAGTCATTTGAAAATTGCTCTACGACTTGTTTTAATTACACACTCCGCTTACATGGGGTTGGGGACAGAGTGATAAGGTTATGTAAGGGGAAAGACAGTTAAAGTTTTCTTACTTTCCTGTTTTTGTATAACATTTCGATTATATTTTAATCTGTTATTAATTAAAAATCACTTACTTGACTGAGTTGCATCGAACGTTTTTTGATGCAAGTTCTGAAAATAACATGACAATTAAAATATTAGAAGAAATGCTCTAAATCACTCAGAGGCTTGAAAGCTCCTCTGTAAAATAGTGTCTTAAGTGAGCTGATAAAATGTAATATGCTGCTGCTTCTACAAGTTGCAGGTGAGTGTTTCCCTACATAATTTTTGATATTTGTTATCTCTCAGTCTTTTAATTAGTTACAATGCAGCTCAGAGATAAGGAGACCAAAATGTGCAAAGTATAACTTGAATGGTACATGCACAAGACTATATGTATATTAGTATTGACATACCAGTGAATCCATCTATACTCATAATTCTTGTATTTACCCAAACTGAGATGTTTTGGTTCATATCTACCAGTAAGTTAACAAGACCACTAAGGTCTTGTTAACAAGACCACTAAGAAAAGACCTGTTAAGTAGCTTGACCCTAAATAAATCAGAGGACACACAAATAAAAAGCTATAATGTTATACAGGGTGGTTTGCGAATAGTTGTGGTATTATTTTGCAACTCTCACCAAGTGCAACACATCTTGTAAATTGATCAACAGCACTTTTAGACATGTTGTAGGCAAGCACTCCAGGAAACTACAGAGACAGTAAAAAAAACTCAGTATTCCTTGTTTTTTGGTTTTTTAAAGCAGCCTTTCAATAACGGACATCATGTCCCAAACAGAAAAACAAGACACTGCATCTTTATTAATGATACAAATCTGTTGTGCATACATGACTTTCAAGCAAGAGGCAAAAATGGTGTGGTGAGGAAGTTATTTTTCTGTAAATCAAAGGAGTGTTCTTGCAACCAGGGCGACTTCAATCATGCAAACCAGGTATAATACAATAGACACATGATAAAAAGTTGATCTAAAAAAGCATAAAAATTTCTTTGTTGTTATTCAGCAATTTGATGAACTCACCGATCTCATGCCATTCACACTGGAAACATTCACAATGCAACCTAGAGCAAGAATGGCAAAGCGTTGAATATTTCATTCATAACTTTTGTGCCCAATTTACCTATCAAAACTTTCATTTAGAATTGCAGTAGCTGATAATATTTTTACCTTGTGTTTGAATGAGGTAAGGCACTGCCAGTGATGTCAAGTAGAAAACAGCCCTAAAGGTTAAGCCAAGAAACGACAATTTACTTCATTGATAAAACAATCACATGTTTAAAGCAAGGAAAAGTGCATAAGGAACATGACTACTGAGGAGAGACAAATAACTGTCTCAGTGATGGAGGGGGCTTATTCATCAAGGGATGTGGGAACAGGATCTAATAGACAGGGAGCACTAAAACATCGTTGAACAATGTTTCACAATTCTTCTGAAGAAAGCTGGGAAAAACTCTCCAGATTTTCTTTAGGGGTAACAGGAACAAGCCAAGGTTCAGGAACTTGAAACTTGTCAAGATTTTCTTTGATGAGTTCTATTTTTTCCACAAAAAGGACCCATTAAAAAGTGTTTTTGATAGCATCTCAGAATGATTGAATTTTCTTGATTTTTTTAATCTGTCAAGTTTTTACTGGTAGTAATTCCAAACTAACAGTAAGTTCCTGGCCAGAAATTTCTAACATTTTATTTGCCTTGCACTTGACTGAAATCTGGTGTACCTATGATACATAAGGTGCCAAAGTGCTTGCGCAGAAGAAAATAAAGGAATTTAATCACCTCATATTGATTCTCATAACCTTGTCAAAGTCTTCCAGTGAAGTCGTTTCTATGGTCCCAGGTATAACTATCCCAGCATTGTTGACCTGTACGGAGATTAAACATCTATGATCACTGAGGTTATTAATTGGCAGAAGCAGCCTTAAGATATCATTATCCTCATCTTTTACTCACCCATTATCTTAAAAGGTTATCTGTTACTCAGTTGTCGATCAATGATAACAGGTTATCTTTGATGCTCAGTCATCATACCATTCAAATCAGATGTTTCCTAATTCCTAATTTCCATTATCACTAGACAAGTGTAATAATTTATTGCTACTCTTGAGACTATATGCCAAGTGGTAAGTTATTTTCTTGTCCTGCTCAGAAAGAAAAATGACCCTGCAGGCATTTCCTATAATCAACAAGTTAACCCTAAAACCACTAAGACTGATTGGCATCTAGTTTCTCCTAACAGTATCACTGCTGAATCAAACTTAAAGGTCATGAGAATGGAGGAAATGATTTAAAACTAGAGAGTCTCTTGATAGCTAGGTGAACAAATTCTCCATTTCAGCACTATAAGAAATGCACAGAGAACAGTATGAAGAATATAGATACCCATGTCAGGGTTCAAAGGGATAAAATTTTCCATAGAGATTATAGTAAGAAAGACACGTGTACACTTACCAGAATATCCAATTTTCCAAATTCTTTGATGGTCGCTTCAAAAAGAGCTTTCACATCTTCATCTTTCTCTAGATCGCCTTGCACTGACAGAACCTAAATTAAATTATATCATTTCATCAGCCATGAGAATGACAATTTTTATCTCAACAAACCCAACTCCGTGGTAATCAAGGCTGTAGTTGTTACCTGGGCATCAGCTCTAATTTCTTTGCATTTGGCCACCACTTTGTCAAGTTCATCTTTGTTTCTTCCTCCAAAAGCTACACTGCATCCAAGTTTGGACAACAAAAGAACTGTTCCTTTACCAATACCTGAACTTCCACCTGAACACACCAAAAGTCACCAGTTACGTGTCAAATTAATCTGACCATTTCATCAAAATCAAGTTATTAGACCTTAACATGGTTTCTCAAAAAAAACCTTCCAAATATAATAAGATAGACAACCACTATGTCAAAACCGATTCATTTTCAAACTCTTCCATCCTATTGATCTGTTCCAGTTTGTTTGTTGGCATCAGCCCCTTCAGTGGGGAGGGAAGGGTAGGACACACCTATCACATCCCCCCTTCCCTGACTGGGTATCACCTCAACTGAAATATTAACTTGCCTGGATCTCTCTCATTTCCCCTGAAGTAAGAGCCTCAAATTATGGAATTTTGATAATTATGATAGTAAATTCAAAGAAAATACCCTCCATAGTTCGCGACTTGACTTCACTTGGGTTCGAACTTACAACCCCGAGAGGCCGTCACGTGCGCCATCGATCCAGGTAAGGTGGAGTGAAATATTATAAATGTCCTTGATGCAGTACGCAGAATGTGGATGATTCGCCAATATAAACACTATTAAACTATAACAGTTTATCATTCCACATATGCGGAGTTAGTTTTAGGATGTACCTGTTATCAATGCTACTTTGCCAATAAATGATCTCTCTTGCTCAGACATAATGGCAGAGTTCCAGACGTGTACGGTACTCAACAATCTGCTTACATGAAGGTTTATAATGGGTAGCTGAGCATCCGTTCCTGCCATCATTCTTGCTAACTATATCGTCGCTGAACATGCATTAAGCTGGCGGAGTAAACCTTTAAGTGTATTTCTCTCTTTTTTTCTTGATATCTGAGGGAAAAAATGCCAGAATACGAGCTAGCCTTGATAGCCAAACGCCTAACAAAGGTGAGAGGATATGACTGAGTCACCCTTAAAAATGATTTTGACTAGAATTTTTTGGAGAAGCTGTAGCACCACAATAGGATGTTTTTTTCCAAAGTTTAAATTCAAGTCAAGACTTGGACTTATTTGCGTGATCAATCTTTTTGTTTGGACAGGAGGGTTTTTCTTCCATGCTTCGTCGGACAGCTTTATTCATTATAAACGAGGGAGGTGTTGTTAAGAAAATGGAAAATCTTGGAGAGCAAGAGCTGCCTCACAGAATGAGAGCGCATCATGAATGGAATACGCATGGAAGGTAGCTAGAGTCAAGCGTGCTACGTAGTAACCTAACCTCACATATTGTAGAATTTTTGTTTAAACTACTTTAAAAAAATTGCCTTTTGTTGCCAGTTATATTGTTTTTTTGGCTTAAAATTTACGGGAAACCATGTCAGCTGAATATGAATGCCTAGTTTCACGCTGGGACGAAAATAATTGTTTGATGAAATCGTACTTCCTTTCCAATAGCCAAAAGCCTTAAAGAAATAATTGCCTTTAAATTAATGACATGCTCATGTGTAATCCTGTCTGGATGCATCTTGCTGAAAATGATATTCTCTTCTTGCACAGTAGTACCACTATTTTGGTGGTGAGACCTTGTTGCATTTGGTCTGCATACTTACAACCTTGGTTAACATTCTCCGACATTAATCTTCCCTTTAGTTTTGATAAGAGCTATGTAACTGAAACTCCTATAGGAACTGAAAAATACCTTTTTCTTTTAAGCTATTCACTTGTGAGAGGGAACTAGTCCTCGAAACACCTCCATATTAAAAGATATAACATTTGTAAATTCTCATCACTAATCTGACTTTTGAACACTCCCCATACATAAAAGGGCTAACATGTATTCAGAGTATAGCTGTTTAGCTTCTTTTAATTCCTCTCTCTCTGTTTTTCCAGATACTTCTTAATAAACTTTATCTTGGGAGCAGATGGAGTCAAACAACTGAAACGTGAGCTGGAAACAGACTTAGACCTCATTCGGCCAAGATTAGTGAAAGTTAGAAGCTGCTATGAACCAAAGAAAAAGCCACTTAACACTATAGAATGTTGGAACAGTTACAGACCTCCTTACAACACATAGTTACAGCATTTGTGCTTGTACACACTCACATACAAATATCAGAGGAGTTTCTTCAGGTGTTCATTTCTTAATTGAAATTTGCATTCATTCTTGGGAGTACTGTTGATTGGTGTAAATTTTGACATTCCAGTGAAGTGTTTCATTGTAAAAATGAGTCAAATTTAAAGAAAGGACTAAGACGTAAGCTTGAAAGGGGTAATTGGTGGGGTCGGTGACAATCAATGGTTTTGAGAGTCTGGATTCTAAATCGTTTCACTTCCAATATCCAAAAACCATTTCCCTGTCTGTTGTACACTTCTTGATTTTTAAGTTTTGAGAATTTGTTGTAAAACTAGACATAGTCCCTTGGTTGATATTTTTCTATCTTTTTGTGACCTCTCAGCATGAGAATTAATACATATTGTAGGAAGAAATTTCTTTTTGGTTGCTGCTACTTTTAGGAGTGAAAGGGTTAAATAGAATTAAGGCTGAAAATTTTACTCTTTCACCTGTGACATGTTTTGCTATATGATGCTAGATTTTCATTCCTGGGTGTTCAGACCTTTTTTCTTAAATGATACCCAAGCAGGAAATCAGTTTTGCCATCTTATGGATACAAATGAAATATTTGAAAAGAATATACAGAAAACCTCTAAGGAAGCTTGGAAGTGACAAGCATGTGAAACTTTTTTCATGTTATAATATTTGCTTGCACATGAAAATAAATCATACATGTATACCCCTTATAGGGAAATAAAGTAGTCTTAAATATTGCTTGAAACTTTCAAAAGCTCATGATTTACGTTTGGTGGCCTCTCGATGAGTCCATCCATGAATATCTTCCTTCCTTTATTTTAATTCATTTTAAAACTTTTTCTACTCGTGATATCCATTCCTACGCGTAGCTTTTAAATGTCGATTGTCAGCGCGTGTGACTATAAGAGGGCCAAAGATAGGCTGTCCCAAATATTGGCAAAGAAACATTCAAGCAGAATAAAGACCTTTTATCTTGTAGGGAACATAGAAGAATTTCTCTATCGGCCCTTAGCTTACAAATCTTTACATGCAGGGCAACACGCAATCTCTACGCTCGCTTTGCCTTCTTTAGTACCGTGGTGTTATGCTGACCTTTCACTCTCATGAGAGAGAAGTTTCTTCACTTCCGCTTTTGATTTTTCAAAGCCGAAACGGAAGCTATCAAATGACCCAATGAAGAAATTTAAGTCAGACGCTGTACAATTCGCCCATTTCTACATTCTGACAAGCTGCCATCATGAAAGCTCAAACTCAAAGGAGCTGTTCCAACCTTTCAATCATTTCTATTGCATCTATCTTGTTTTACTGTGCTGGATTTTTGAGAACTGAAATGGAACTAAGCAATCAGAGGAAGAAAATAACGGCTCTTGAACACTTTGTACACGCTATGAAAGTCCACGAAGGGTTAATCCAAGGTACCCCAGCTGGTAGGTATTGCAAAGGAACTGTATTATTTGTTGATTTAGAAAAGCTTAGCTTAAATTTTCCAAGTTTGTCACTCGCAATTTGTCATAATCTTTGCCATCCTTTCCCATTTTTGTACCTACGTGGTTTATTATTACCGTTTCGGAGTCTGTCAACCCTATGAGACATTTCTTCAAGATTTTTGTCTATTTCGGGGCAGATCTCCGTAACGATAAAATGACTCGAATATCGTGAAGTAACCTGACTTAGCTGCTTATGTCGTCAAACAATTCAAGTGAAGTAACAGACTACGTGTGTGTCATAATCACACGATAAGATTTTCTTCGTCGCTAACGCTAAAGAAGCTTTTCTTATTCGGCAGTTCTGTTCCAATTACAAACCAATTTCGAATAACCCGGCGCGCGACAGCACTTAGTTTCAGACGCATCAAAACCTTAACGACGAATTTTTGAAAGGCTTGGTTTCCGTTTTCCAAGCAGAACCGTCCGAGTACTTAGTTTCCATTAAGAAACTTCTTAGTAGCTCATAAATACGGGGAAAGTCACATGACACCAAAAAGTAAAAGCTATACACAGGAAGAGACAGTGAAATGTCACACTGACACACTTAAACCGAAACTCGGGGTTGAAATCAATGCTGCTTAACAGGCAGCAGCGACTCTGGCATCATTTCATCTCAAAAGGGGTATCGAATGGAGTATGCGAGCAATGTGTTTATTTTTGCGAGCACGAACAGTTGTCAAATTTTTTTTGCGAGCAGCGAGCACTTTAGAAAATACAGATGGCGAGCAGTGAGCACTTAAGAAAAATGCAGATGGCGAGCAGCGAGCACTACGAGTACTTCGTGAATTTTCCGCCAGCCGGAATCTCTCTTTTGTCAATAGGAAAAGCTGTAGAACCCGATACGTTGTTTTGCGCCAGTAATAGCTAATAATCTGGCTGACACCTACAAAACAGAACAATAGATGCAAAGCTAGGGCGGTGCAACCAGTCCCAGCATTTTACAGCCAACTGTGCCCTGCTTGATGCTAAATTACGTCACGTAGCTTCACGTGAGTCAATCAGGGTGGACGCTCAAAAAACTTTAGAGCTCTCAAGGAGATCTGCTAGATCCAAAGCCTGCGATCTAAAGTTTTCCATCTCTTTCTAATCCGACGCTAAAATGGAAGGTACGTTTTTGTTGGTAATATAGTTCTTATCAAATGTAAATAACGTGACATTCAGTCTAACAAGCATTTCGGGATCGGCAAACTGGTTTCCCGCTGATTGACTAAAAAACATTAAACGCAATGAAGCTTTATTTATTTAGAGGCTTCTAGAATCTAACCAATTACAGCCGTACAGATCTGACAAGCTCTAGTAGTAGCTCTGAAGGTCATGCAGGTGGTGCTGGTAAAAGTAGTATTTCTCGAGGGTACTTTCTACCTTCGCTGGTGCCTTTCGAGAAGAATTCTTACATTTCGTGTTTCCGCGCGACATGGAGACATAGTTTCTAGACATGTCTCCTCGTTCACATATTTGAACTGCGAAACTGTACCCTCAAGCAGAAAGCTTACGACGATGAAACATGATAAAGGATAAACCAATAAACGAAATGCTTGTCATGGAGCTTCGTGCGTTTTCCCGATAATACATACAGCGCCTCCAAAACAGTTTCAGGCTGAACTGTTGAAGAAAGACTAAGGAGTAATTATCAGGGAAAAGAACTGAGACACGTGGTTTAGAGGAGTTGTAGGAGCAACAAAGACTTCTCACTCCTGAATCCTCCTATCTGAAAAGGTCGCTTTCGCAAAAACGACGTATCACATTTTACGTAGCACCTGTACCAAGCTATGTGCTGTGGCACTGTTTCAGGGTCACAAGTAACTAAATTCTCTCATGGCGTACTAGCGCGAGCATAGATAGCAATTTACATAGAGAACAGCAATGAATGCGTTATAGGCGATAAGTTTCTTGCGCTTTATCATTGAGGCATTTGATAATTATGCTCATAGTTTCAATTCCACTTCGCTCTTGAATTGCCTTTCGGTCAATTTTAAAGTACCCATCCGATAACTTCCTGACTCCACTTAGGTTTTTTTTCTAGGATGATTCATCGGGACCATTTTACCCTGAGATAGAGAGTCCGCGACCAGAGCAAGTGTCTCGTAAGATTTCGCAAAATCAAGGTTTATTGTACTGATTCACAGAGCTATGTGTCATAGAAGTATTGCAAAGTGCTGCTCAATGATCTTTTCACGAACTATTGACCTCAAAACATACCTCCTCAACTGTTGCAGCCACGGAAACAACGTGCGTGACAGATCACGTGCGTCCTAACAAGTTTCCATTCCATTTATCGCGCGATAATTTTCCACTTATCGCGCGATGTTTTGATTTCATCGCGCGATAAATCTCATCGCGCGATAAACTTGAATTTAAAAAAGTGGATAGCGGGTCCTCTATGGGCCATGGTACATGAGAGAGCTTATTCGCACGCTTAGGGGTGCACTTCCATAAAATGACACAAAAGAACCAGAAATGTTTTATAACTGTGCGAGGAATGCCGCTGAAACCTTTCACTCGTATCAAAATATTTATTTGAGGCGAAGGTTTAAAGCTTATTGCAGGCCATCCCCGCACAAATTTTGTCAACTCCCCCTTTCCGTACTTTTGTGGTAAAATCGTAAAATTTCACCTTTTTGTTCATAGAGGCTCAAATTAAATCCTACAGAAACAAGCGTAACGCTGACACGACCAGAAACGCCACAGAAGATAAAACTTCGTCGCAAGCATTACTGAAGATCAACAAACTTTTGTCGAGCGGCCGATTACAATTATGTCAACCAAACGGTTATACCAGTCCTTGTGGGCCACCAGGCCCCCCTGGTCCACCTGGACCGAAAGGTAAGAGAGGGAGACCTGGGAAAAATGGAGACAAAGGTCGTGCGGGAGAACCTGGAAAGAGTGGAAAGCGAGGTATGACGGGCATCACTGGATTAAAGGGAAACACTGGACCCAGAGGAGAGAAAGGGGACATAGGAGCCACTGGAATGCCGGGAATGAAAGGGGAGCCCGGTGAATCAATTTCAGGACCTACTGTTGAAGTTTCTCCTCAAATTCGGACGGTGAACGAGACTGAATCAACGGTTTTCCAGTGCTCAGTCAGTGGTAATCCCAAGCCAAAAATGAAGTGGAACAGGCTGTTAAAGGGTTCGGAACTTGAGCAATCGACGGTTTCGGAAGGACGACTACAATTAAGGAATATTAGAAGAGGTGATGCCGGCATGTATCGATGTTCAGCGGCAAACATCTTAGGACAGGCTCAGAAAACAGTACGACTGGTCGTGAATGGTATGTTTTTCGTGAATGGTCTGTTATACATCTTCAAGGCTTCATGAAAAAAAATTGTTCTTCCTTCGTTGTAAGCTTGATTAAGGATGTACTAAAATATACCACAAATGATAAGTAAGGGTTTAAACCACCCACTGTGCACAGAAAAAAAAGCTTCGCCGAGCTGCACTTGTCGGATCTAATGCTACAGGTTTAGCACTCGGAAAGTGTCATCAATGTCTGATACATCCAACACGTTATTAATTTGGGTCACTCAAATTATTAATGAACCGTTTGTGGGTAGGAAATAACTTATGTTCGCACATGATCAATTTACAGTGTGCTTTTTTCTTCTTAGTTCGTCCACGTGTTTCCCTCAATCCTGGACCAATGTATGCCATTGAAGGAAGTAATATAACCCTTCCAATCTGTCGGGAGACAGGTCATCCACGGCCAGATATCAAATGGCTCAGACCGTTTGGTCAGTTACCACAAGGAAGAGTTCAGTTTGAAAACAAAAACAGCACACTGGCAATATTTGACGTTCGTCGCACTGACACTGACAACTATGTATGTGTGGCATCAAACCTTCTCGGTAGAGCTATGAAAAAAACTCTGCTGCTCGTGTTGTCTCTTCCAAAATTTATATTTAAACCACCCGAGAGAAAAACAGCATTTTCCGGGTTCAGTTTGAAGCTGAACTGCAGCGTAACTCGCAACGGGCACCCAGTGATTAGCTGGAAAAGACAAGGCGCTCAACTTCCCGCGGGGAGAAGTTTTATTTCAAAGAAAGGACTGGTGATCGCAGATCTACGGCTTCAAGATGCTGGAAACTATACTTGTATTGCTACAATAGCAGGAAAATTTTCCATTGAGACCTCTACTATCGTGGAAATAAAAGGTGATAAAAAGATGGCCGCACCTTTTGACCCACCACAAAATGAACTATTAACTCAGAGTATCATCTAAAAGTAATGATCATATACAACTAACC